TGTCACCCAGGGCACTGGGCAGGGCTCTTTATATAGAGTCAATAGCAATGTATTGCTCACACACGTGTAGTGAGCTAGCCACCCAGGACCAGGTGAGAATCCTGGCCACAGGAACTTTTATTTTATACACAATGGGCCATGAGGTTACCTTGAGGATGGAAACCAACATGGTTACCTTCAGGATGGAAGGTGCTAGAACTGAAATTTGCAAGAAGCTTGGCTTCCCAGCTGCCATGGAGCTGACATGCTAGCCCCAAAGCAGCTGCTGATGGACTCCTTTAAAATGTGGAACACACTTCCATCTCGTTTAAGTCACCGCTGCTTCCAATTTTCTGACATAAGCAGCTGAACCTGATCCTACCAAGTGCATTTAGCTGTTATATTTGAACTTCCTGACTAACTGGAGGATTGCTCTCTCACCTCCTGGGGTGCAGCAAATTAAGCCAAACAGCATAGACTTTGGGACATAGACATAGACTTGAATCCCTGCTCTGCTGCTAGCTGCATGCTGAAGGCAATTCTCTGTCTTCTCTATACCGGTTTCTTTTGTAAAATGGTGTGCATTAAATTAATTCATGCATATAACATACCTGGCACATGGTAGAGATCTGACAATATTAGTTTCCTTATCTTCCCCTCTTCCCCATGCTGAGGATTTTATTTTAAATACTCAAACTCTAGGTTTATCTCTCTACAAACTGCCATAATAACCATACGAACACCTGCAGGAGTGAGGCTAGGTAAAAAATACTCATAGTTAATGCAGTAGGAAGCAAAGGACAGAAGGAGGCAGCCAGGAGAAGAAACAGCAAATGGAGGCCTCATTGTCTTTCAGTGAGTTTCAGCCCTGGGCAAGTTCACTATGGATTCAGGGAGACCGACAATGACAATGGAACTTCTTGGGCTAAAAGGGTTTGTTCCCAACTTTATTCCTATGATGGCAGGTCAGTCACTAGAATTCCATCCACTCAGAGTGGGTCTTCATACAGCAAGCTAGTCTTTGCCTCTGGGCCTCTCTGTCCCTGCAGCCATCTCAGTCTCTGTCCTCGGCGCTGCCACCACCCCAGCCTCTGCTCTGCTCTCCTGCAGCCATGTGGTCATGCCACCATGTTGCCCAGAGCATTGGGTGGAGCTCTTTATAGAGTCAAAGCAATGTACTGCCCACAGGTGTGTAGTGAGCTAGCCCACAAGGGCCAGGTGAGAGTCCTGGCCATAGGAACCTTCACTTTATCCACACCCGTGATCTGGCATGGACATCTGCTAGCTCAGAGAAGAGCTGGCTCTCCAGCTGAAACCAAGCCCAAGGCCCACTGGGCCTGGGAGGGCTGGTGCTCACTATTCTTCATGAAACTGTTGTCTCCAAAAGGCTGGGCAATGGAGTGGCCGACAGCATTTCCAGCCTGTGAAATACAACTTGGCCACCTGAGAATTCATGTGTGGAGTAGAAGCAGAAAGGCTGACTTAGCTGGTGAAGACACTAACATCTCTGAATCCAAGCACATTAAAAAGACACTAAGCAGCCAGTTGTGTGAAAGGCAGTCTATGTAACACTGTAGATTAATGCCTTAGGCTGACTGCCAGGCTCAGAACACCCAGTGCCCTGCTTGCACGTAAGAGAAATATGGGAGAACTCTGTGTAGTCAGTCTCTTGGCTGGTCACAGCCACGTGTAGGGGGGAAGCATGGTGAGTTACTGGAATGGACAAGTAGACCACCCTGATGGAAGAAATAATGCATCTGCCTGCCCCAGGGATGACCCTCTCCTCAGCCATGTACAGCCATAGTATCCAAATTATTTTAGTCTTGGACCCTTCTGGCAGGGCAGAAGACCCCATGGGCTTCCAATTTTGCCAAAAAATGGTTAAATAATCTTAGAGTTGGAAGGAACCAGCTAATTCAGTTCAACTAGCACTTCACCACTTATGAAGTATTCCAGAGAGAGCCAGAGAGGTGGCCCCATCACAGCTAGGTAATGCGGAGGCAGGCCCAGGATTGGGTCCCCTGACTCCAGGGCCGTATGTTTCATTTTACAGCATTAAGTTGGTCAAGGGACTTCTTTTCAATTATATTTTAATATGTGGATTCAAATATCAACCAACAGGGAGTAGCTCATACATTAAAATCCACATATTACTGTGATTCTGAAATTTCATATTAAGAAGGCCCTGAAACTGTGGAGCTTTGAAACCCTCCCCACTGCCCCCCACTCCCGATGTGTGGAGCCAAGGAAGGGATACAAGGATAACAGTCTGCAAAAGCTAATGGAGAAGAGGAGATCAAGTTGCAAAGAAGGACCGCATTTTTTAAAACTCAGAAATAACAGGTTATGAACTCACCGGGCTACTAGAAACACTTTGAGAGGATGACGGGGGTACCAAGTCTGCATCTGCTTCCACAACTGTGACCCTAGAAATGAGGTGCATTCCTAAAAGACAGCCCAGGCTTGGACTGTAAAACCTACGAGCTGCCAATCAACACTCTCCCCATCCCCGTAAGGTATGGGTATGCAGTCTGCATGCATTTCCTATGCACTGAACACCCACCATGTGCCCAGTGTTATATTCAAGGAGTTAGAGGCAGATGGTGGGGGTGGCAGGCAGAGGCTGGGGAAGGGAGGTGTCAGGGCCATGTGGTTAGCAATGGAGCCAAAATTCACACTGAGTCCCCAAATTAACTTGAGGCCTCCTTCCACCATGTAGGCGAGCCTTTGCAGGACACAAAGAGGAGCTTCCACAGCTAGGAAGCACTGGGTGGAGACCAAACGTGCTGGAACTGCTTGGGTCTCCTGCCCCTGGGTTACGGACGCCATGTGAGCTGTTCCCTGTGCAGCCGGCTGCCCTACACAGACCAGCCTTTAAGGCTCACCCAGCAGCTTTTGCATCCACAGCCAAAGAGAATGGACAGAAGTTCTTTCATGGAGAATCTTTATTTGGATCCGTGTGTTACGAAGCAGGGCAATCATCTTGAAACAGTAGGAGTCTTTACATTGTGCAGGGAAACAGAAGAGCTCCTTGAAGACACTCATCTGTGTTGTGCTGGCTTTACTGTTCTTCGCCCACCTTCACTTCTCATCAACTGAAGCCTCTGGTTCCACCTGGTCTGTGGGCAACAGCCTGCAGCTGGCTCTCGGCCCTTTCCAGAGCGGTCTCTTCCAGGGACCCTCTCTACCTGCCTTCTGTATTAGTGGTGCCCAAAGAAATGAGGGGCAGATACAAAGTTAAAGTGGCTTTGTCCTCACCAAATTTTAGTTCTTTTTTCTTTTCTTTATTTTTGAGATGCTTCTGCTTAGCATTTCTGACAGATCTGAGTGTAGGACTCTGATTTCAGCTGACTCAGGCGGGGAGGACTCCACTGATTCTTATAATCTGCAGGTCATTGCTTTTCTCCCTGCCTGGGACATACGGTTTTCATTTCTAATTTCTGCCACATGCTTCTCAACTTGAACTTGCCTTTGCCTCCCTCTTGCTCTGTGACAGTGCATTTCAAACATGCTGGCCCTGCCTACAGGTGGGCCGATGGGGGGTCGGGGGGAGCAGGCTGTGCTGTCAGCAGCAGGCCCCAGCTGGCCTGGTTTCCACAGGAGAGATGGGGTGTCTCATGGGGAGCACTTTCTTCGAGGCAATGGGAAGAAGGGCTCAACACCCTGGACTTGCCTTTGGGTTCAAGGTTCTATCACTGAGCAGAGGCCACAGGACAAAGCCTCCCTCTAGTCTGACATAAATGCAACTGTGACGACTTTCACAAGGCAAAGCCAGGAATCTGCAGGTGCTCTGTCTGCCTCCCTGCACTGCTGATAAACCCAAGGACCATTCCAGCGGGCAGTATGTTGGACTGTATCAACCTTTTCAAGAGGCTGCAGTCTGAACTGTAGTCTTAACTGCTTTTTTTTTTTTAACAAAGCAAGCAGGGTGGGGACCATTTTCAATGTTTCTTTATCATCTCCCCCTTCTTCACTTCATGGGTTCCAGGAGGGACCAACCCACACTTCTGGAAAAGGACCTCCCACCAGGCAGACTATTAAAGGTCACTTTGGACTCTGTCTCCTATATCCTGCTCTGAGTAGCAACTCTCCTCCCACAAACAGATGTGCAGAATCTGCAGTTAAAAGGAAAATGAAAAGAAAATGCAAAAATCCCCCAGGTTTGCAATAACTTCAGCTTAAGAAAAACTCTTCTTTTAGCTTCACTCCAACCTTAAGCTTCATGTCCCCGAACAAACGGACCCAGCAAAACAGTGGTACAAACATCTAAACCAACTGCTTATGAGAACGTAGATATTGGAAGTGTTTCTTTAAGTTCACATATTAGAGAGACAGAATTCTGTGCACTGATCACTTTCCAAGAGATGCTAAGCTGACACTTAATTGTGTGCTATTTAATCATTTTAAACAAAACAAAACAGAATAGCCAAAATGCACAAACCTTATCTTTGGGGGGTTCAGAGGAAGTGGTGGGTAATCTCATCTTGCATCAGTCCTTTCTGCTCAGAGCTGGGAAGTATTTGTGTCAACAGTGGTTCAGCTCATCATTTTTCCTCAGAAGCCTAGACTAAGCTGCTGTCAGAATAAGATGCTTTGCTGTTGCAAGAAGGCCTGAGTCTAAGCCATGAGTCATGAATTTGAACACTTGAAGTCCCTAATGACAACCCTTCCCCAACACTCAAATGGAATCGAAAAATCTACTTAGAATTTCCACATGAATCAAAACCTTAACCTAAATTCCACTAAGAAAACCAGGATCTCAGAGAGTAGCTATGTTCTTAAGGGACTTTTAAGGATGAACTTCAAATAGTTATGAATGATATGGAAAAGAATTCTGCAGATGGAGTTGGGGGCTGTACACTTTAAGGAGGAGTTTTCTGAGGTGTGCAGAAAATTTTGAAAATGATAATGAAGATACTTGGTTTTCGATCACTCACAAATTTTCTTCAAAGAAAGGTAGTGACAGCTGTAGTACCAACATTCTCCCCCTTCTTTTGTAAATCAAGAAATACAAATACATCTCATATGTAATTCCTCATATAATTTTTAGCACAAAAGGTGAAAATCAGAGCTTTTAATTTGATAAGCCCCAAATTACTACCAACAGTAGGTCATACGTATGAAAAAACAATGGTAAACACAAAATAGGAAAACTACTTTTCTAGTTACAAATAACAAAGAGTTATGTATGAGAAGTAGAAATAATAAAAGGATAATTAGCATTAAGTTCGAAACCTCTGGGAAAGCTATTTTTAATTACAGACTGTATTATTTACCACAGAATATGCAAGTTTAAAAGTCTAATGTTCAAAGTTACTTCTTCCAACTGCTCCACCAAAAGATTAACATACAGGCTGGATTCCAGAAATTGAGATGGCAAGTATAAATATTGATAATTTCAATGAAGTTCAGAATGGTTTCACAAAGATATGATACAACAATTTAAATAAAATAAAGCAGAATAGTATCATATTTTGGGTTGTTTGTGATATATTTAAGATATAATAACTTTTTCTCTTTAGGATCCTTTTTGTTCTCTTGAGAAGAAAGTTAAAATTTAATTCTTTTCATTAAAAATAGTCTTTAGATGAACCAACAAAATGCAAGAGGAAGTGAGCACAGAGTTTTTATGTATGTATATTTATTTATATGTATATTTATATTTTATATATGTGTGTATATGTGTCTATATGCATATGTGTAAATATGTGTATGTATACATGTGGATCCCATCCCATTTGCATTTAAAGAGCAAAGCATGTGCCACAGAGACTGTCAGGGAGCTCCCTCATTTAGCTCTACACATGACTGTGTGATTCGCTGGCTAACAGACTGGTCACCCTCCTTCCCGCTAGTTTTCCTGGGAAAAACAGTTTTAGCCATTCCTAGCAGAGCCTTGGCCCATCTCACTGGGTCACGAGAACGAGAGCCCTACTACAACATCTCGTGAGGGCCAAAATTTGGACAGAAGTGACTATAAGCGATAGGTAAGAGCCAAGGCTGCTAATCAGTGTATTTGAAAAGACTTTTCAGAATTACTTAGATTCTGTGTTGTTTATTAGAGTCCAAATGCATGAAGTTCTTATGAAATAAAATCATATGGTACAGATAAAAACCGGCCATGAAAGCCCAGTCAGAGCTGTTTCAGGGCCAAATTTCAGACCACCCAACAGTTCACATTTTAGGAATTTGAAACGTCTTAAAATAGATAAGGTGGTTTCTCAAAAAATAAAAGAAAGAATGAGAGAAAGAAAGAAGAAAAAGAGAGAGAGAAAAAAGGAAAAAAGGAGGAAGGAAGAAGACAAGAAACTGCTCAGGAAATGTTAGCTTAGAAGAAAACCTTAACTTAGATGGGTAAAATGCATAAAAATGCTTAAACTTTGTGCAGATTAATGCAACAGTAAACAGTAGAATACATAGGCCTCATAATACTTTCGTAATGGCATATATATAATGCGTCTAGCACTTTTTAAAAATATGCAGAGACTAATTAAGGAACATTCTAGATAAAAATACCTATTTCTTAAAGGGGCAAGGGGCAGGGTGAGGAACTATGGTCTCAGGGCAGATCCCCACAGACATATAAAGATGAAACTATGTTTTTTGGTAATTCTAGTGGATATGGCAGAAAAAAGAGCTGTTGAGATGTTGGCTGGTTTTGAGAGGGATATTTTCAAATATAACTTTACAGCTACATTTGTAAAAAAATCTCCATTAAAAGATTACTGTATTAATTCTGTGAAATGTCTATATTGACATTGCTAAGAAAAAGAGTAGCAGAATTGTGAATGGGTAAGGGATGTATGCATTAAAGCAAAAGTGAACCCTCTTTGGGGGTTCCTCTCACACAAAGGGATATAGGCTCTTAAATAAAATAATATGTCCTTAAAAATCTGCCACCTAACAATTGTTTACATCATAGAAAAATAGCATTTTTGTAAAAAGAAATATAGTTACTTTGTTAAAATAGTCTATTTTAAACCAGCAATTATTTTTCATATAAAGACTTTCTAAACATCCATGAAGAAAAAAAAATAGATAATATTGAGTGCAAAGCAGACAATGGCATGTTTGCAAACAAAGTATTTCATTGCCAGATCAATAATACTCTTAGTACATTATAGTACAAGTTTTAATCTTTTAGGAACTTAAAAGATATTGCTTTTATTCTCTGATGGCAAGTTACTTATAACTAAAGTGACTTCCAGCAGCAGAAGACCAAACTGATTAGAAATGGATTATATATATTCATTCACAATTGCCCTAAACTCAAAGTGCTGAAACACTAGGTAATGGTCCTGTCCCAAACTCCTTAACACGAGTGTGGGTTGCAGGCCACGGAGATGCAAAGCAGAAATGGCAACATTCACAGTCCTTTCAAAATCACCCACCATATCATCTACACTTGCATTTTCACATAGAACCACATTAATGTCAAACTATCTACCAGCTTGGCTAAATGAATCATTAAGGAGAGTCTATGTGACTCTTTTCTAAATATAGATATTAATTTGTCATGCTATAAAAACAGGTGGTTTCAATGAATTAATGCTTTATTTCCATAAAGTGATTCCGTGTGGATGGCAAGCTTCCTGGTGGCAGTGGTGAAGAATGGAACAGTACAGTCAAAGTCACCATGTCCAGCTTATGCACAAACAAGCTGGGCTGACAGGTAAGTCAGACAACTTCAATCAGCAAACTACAGTGACCCACAGGCCACTGGCATCCATCACACCCTTTCCACCCTGCTAGGGTCATAGGAATCTATAAAAAAAAGAAAGAATAGAAAAGAAAATCAGTGGTATATTCAACTGCTCTGTTTTCTGATTAATCCTCAGACCGTAAATAAATACATTCAGAGAGCAAAACCCCCAAGTATATGAATGTTAATTTTTACATATTTCAACAATCCTGTTTTCACTGAGAAGTAAAAAACTAGCATCAAAAGGCTCTTTTAAAGGGGACACATATGATCATTACCTAATCACAGATGGAAAAATGTGAACTGCTTAATATTTTGATAGTGCCTTCCTCTCTTCATTGTGGAACTTACTTTAAATCAAGGCTTGTAAACCAGCAGTGGCGTGTTGGGATGATGCCAAGGATATTTTTTTTTGTAAATTATAACTCTAATGACAGTTTACTTTAGGATGTGCATCCTGTGACCAAACAAGGATGTGCTCTCCCAAGAAGGTTTGTGGACCCTGAAATCCTGTCTTCTTGTCCGTCAGTGAGGGACCCCTCGGTCTCTGACCACCATCAGCCAGAAGGGAGGCCCAAGGCAGGACAGATGACTCAGCACGATCCTTCCGAGCCTCCCCACAAATGGCTGCACCAGTCCGGACTGCCACACTGGTCCGTCCTACACTGGAAAGTCCCCAAGTGGGCTGGCTGACCTGGGTGTCCTCAGATGGACACCACACAAGGGACAGCAGCCCTAACTGCCTGTGCCCTGCAGCTGGGTGATGCAGATCTGACCCTCAGGGCTCACAGGTCTCTGGGATCCAAGCAAACCCAAACCTCAGGTGCACCTCCCATGGTCAGAACTTCCTGCCTCAACAGCTCAAGGGTTCCTAACTTCCAAAGAGAACACAGTTAGGGAGGACTGGTACAATATGTCAGTTACAAAAACTATTACAAAACAATCTCTTCTCAAAGCCATCTGGACACCTGGGCATTGTGAAGGACACTTAGTTTCCAATTTCTCTAGCAGCAAAATGTCTTACCACATCCTCCTCACATCTTCTCAATGGAACCACAGTCTGTTTACGATACAACTGTGAGAGCTAAGACACTGGTGCACTTCGGGTCAGACATTCTAAGCCAGAGGACCCAGTTTCTGCATTTAGGAAAAGGTCTGCTCCTTGTCAAACATGACTTACCACACCCAGCACCTATCTGGCTTGAAGCAAGCTGAGTTCTCGTGAGTCAGTCACCTTCTGATAGTTTACATGTACCATCACCCAATGGGACAGCACAGTATATTAACAGCTGAGCTACAATCAACCTCATGGTGTGCTGATTCTGCAAGGGACCTCCTGGGAGCTAAGGTGTGTTTTTTTCCATTAAGAATGAGGTGGGTGGTCAGTAAGGATGACCAGTGGGAGGGGCACACTGCCGGCAGGTGAGCAACCAGAAAGAGGAGGAGTGTCTGTTAAGCCTCCAATGACATGAACGGACACTGTCAGGGCCAGGGCTGTGGAGGTGCCTCCACGGAAACTGTCTGCAACCTGGGCCCCACTGTTGAAGCTAAGAGCCCCAAGACAGGAAGCTGGGGAAAATATTCAGTAGGACACTGGGATCCTTTTTCAGATGGCAGAGGGTCTAGGGCTAATAAAAATATAATGTGAGTCATAAAACATTACTGAAAATTTCCTAATAGCCATCTTAAGGCAAATAAAAGGAAAGAGGTAAAATAAATAATGTATTTTATTTCACCAATTATATCCAAAGTAGTATCATTTCAACAGGTAATCAATATAAATATTATTGAGAAAATTTAGATATTTTAAAAAATACTCAGCCTCTGAACTCTGGTATGTACGTTACATTTACAGAATATCTCAATGGACGAGCCAACCACATTTCAAATGCTCAGAAGCCATATACTGGCCAGCACAAGTTCAGAAGACAGAGAGGTTCCCATGGGCAATATTGAGAAACCTGGTTCCTACCAGCAACTTTTCGGGTGGCACTGACCCACCCAGGCCCACCCTTGTGGGTACTGCATGTTATTAACACACTCAAAAGCTATAGCTCTTGGAAATATGCTAACGTCTAGCTTTTTAATGGCATTATTTGGCATAATCAAACCTTCCTAGATTTCTTCCACTTCAGGCCTGAAGCCAATAGTCTCTCTTCATTCTCCTCTTGTATGACAGCATACATATAATATAACATAATATAATGTATAATCTCCTCCTATACTAATAGAGTGCACAACAGAGGCAGATGGAACCAGCAGGTTCTGAACACCACTGGTGCCTGGGATTTCACTTCTGAAGTGGATCCAGCCAGTGGACATGGGAATTGAGTCACCTGAATTAGATCTGAGCTGCTCACTTCATAGCCTGAGCCCAGAAAGACCACTAATAGTGTTAGCTGGAGTACAGCCACTCTGTGATACCGTAGGTAGTAAAACACAGCACAGACAGAGAAGTCCTAGCACAGTGCCCATGTGTGAATGTGGCAGGCCCAGTATACTCTCATTTTACAATTCCAGAAAAAAATCTGAATTTAAGTGGCCTGTGAATTCAGGAGTATGGCAGTAGTTTGGGCACACTGGGATGACAGAGGCCAGGGTAGCACAGGACGGAAGTGATGATTTTTGTCTATAAAATGACAAAATTCATCAAAAGGAAAACAAAGGCCAAAAGTTTATGAGTGACAAAGCAACAAGGCTTCATTTCAATTTGTGAGGCAACTATGAGTGAGAAAGTTAACATATGCCAAAAGTTCTACTATCTCAATTTTATGAGCCTTATTCCTTGCAAAACATCTGGCCTCGATGACTGAGGCTGGTGACCATCCCATGAAAAGGCCAATGGGGGGGCCCACCTCTTCCACTGCATGTGTGAGAACCTATCCCTAATTGTGTTTGGCTGTGGATTACTGAAAATGCCAGAGGTGGCTCTGCCTGCAGATTTTTGGTCATATTATTGTGTATTAACAAGTACATCAAATGAAAAAGGGGAAAAATAATTAAAATTTCTACTGCTTAGCAATTATGATTTAAGAAAATAAGGTTATGGACTATGTGTCTTTAATGGCTGGCTAAACTTAAAATTGGCATAACCTAGGTGTTTTCAGTGCAAAATCATCTAGCTAAAAATTGAGAGAGTGTTTTATAGAACTAGAAATTTTACGTTAAAAAATACTCCTTGGAATATGAACAAGGTCTGAAACATAGAAATCTTAACAAACTCGTGTTTATTTTAACAGGATTTGTCTTATTTTAAAATCCTACAATTCTGGATAAGGTAGAGTTTAGAAAATCACCTAGATTTGATAAAGAAACTCACTTTAAAAGCCTACAATGTCTTTTTAACTAGCAACTAAAAGTGAGTGGGCATATTTGGGGGGAGGCGGGCAGGGAAGGAGGAGTTGCCAAAACCTAATAAACCCCAACGGCACAAAAATGGGCTCTGGAACACTTTGCCCACCATCATGACAAAGGCTCCACGTTCCTAGTAGTCTCTTCCTCAGCAAAGACCAAATTTGTCAAATCAGATGATGCAATTTCAGTAATGTATTTTGCATAAGGATTAGAGCAACATTGGCTAACACTCCCAAGAATCATACTGTGCTTGTGGGAAAAATTTTAAAGTGCCAAGTAGATTATTTTTTAACAAAACTTTCTGGATCCTTCTAGCTGAAACAAGTGATCTTTTCCATCCGCTTTTAAATCCCTGGATTTCAAAATAGGAAACAGGGAAGGAGGGGTAGGGGGACTACCCTATTGGGGCTGCATAAGGTGACATGAAGGCCTGGTGGCAGCAGGCAGTGAAGAACTCAGTTCCCCCTTACTATGAAAAGCTCTGAATGAATGAATGACTTCAGGCCTCTTCCAGTCCATGGATTATGATGCAGGCCTTTGGAGATCTACTTAAACTCCTTCTTCTAATCATTTCTAGGAAATATGATCTGTAATCCCCAGCCCCAGAAGAAAACGCCTGAGGAGAGACTGGTGAGGCTGTGTAAAGTTGTGACAGAATCACTGTTTCTGTCACTGGGAACCTACCATGTGGCTTTAGGAGTGGCAGGAGGCTCTGAAGACCTTACGGTGACAAGGCTCCCTCAATTTTTAGCTAGATGATTTGGCACTGAAAACACCTAGGTTATGCCAAATACCTAGGCTATAGCCAAAACCGTCTCACCTGGGATTTAGCAATCAGAATTTAGGGGAGAGTTAGGGGGTGAACTTTTTAGGGGTGAGGTGTTGAGAAAGTACAGACTGTTAACTTTGTGCTGCATAGATGGTGTGGTAGTGAAAACAGATAAAAATGAGACAAAAGGATTTTGGAAGGTGAGAATGTATGTCACAGCATCATGGGACAGGCAGTTATTTGATCAACCTGGTCTGTCTTTTCTTATTAGGTTAATTAAGAGCAATGAGGTTGTTTGGGTGAATGCTTATCATTTTAGGACAAGGCACAGAGCACAAATGCTATGACCTCCTCCTGGATTTTTCAAGATGCCTGAGCCAAAGTTAGAATACTTTATTGATTTACCTCTTCCCAGGGGCCCAAAATATTGGTTTATACAGATAATTTTTATCGCTGTTTACATAGGTATTTTCTATGAAGATATAATCATTTAAAATACACTACAAGGTCTTGATTTTTAAGGAAAGCTTCTGGACAATTCTTTGTGAAATGAAGACTCTTTGGGTATGCTAATCCACAGGGTTAACGTTATCTTTTCTGAATATGCAGATTTCCGTTACCCACCCACCTGTACTGTTTATGCTCTAAGGATTCCAAATTACCTCCTAACACCTGCCCGCTTGCCTGACTCCTCACCTGGGCACCAGAAGTCCTGATAGGTGTTCTTCTCTCTTTCTGCTGCCAGATGTCCATTTTCTTCCAGCGATAGGATGCCCTTGGAGATAGAGAGTAAGAACCCAGCCTTCTGTGCTGGGTCCTGGGCATTCAGAGGCACCAGGCCTCCAGGCTGCATCCCGGAGACCCTCTCGGCCTTAGGTTCCCCAGCCTCCTCCACGGAGTCAGGGCTGCGGGAGCTCAGGAGTCTCATCCGAGACACTGAACTCACCTCCTTCATCCTCATCAAGCGGTGGGGGTCTGCTCTCCTTGGAGGTGAGGCCAATTTCTCCTGTAAACTCTCAATCACTTTGGAGGTGCTTCTGAGCCTCTTTTCTGAGCCCGCCACACTTGGGGTCTTTTCTATGAAATGGAACAAAGTGGACCTGAAGGGAGGTCTTGTCCCCATGTCCTTGTGGTCCAAGGACGTGGATTCCTGGGGGCCAGGCTGTGGCTGGGCACTGGGGGCCTTGCTGGGGACGGCCCCAGCCACAGTGCAACGCTCAGGATCTGGAGGAGCCCAGCGAGTACTATCCCTTTCCCCTACAAAGAGAGGGCTTTCGGTCCAGCCACACCTCCTCCTGCCATAAAAGGAATCAGTGGACACTGCAGGGCCGTCTGGCTGTGCGGAGCTGGACAGTGACTCCTCCCTTGGGGACTGGGGCCTGCCGGCACCTCCTTCAGGTTCAGGGTGCTGGGTCTGTCCCGATCTCCTGACACCTGGCAGCAGGGACTCCACGGCCACCTCTATGCCCAGGATCCTCGCAGCCCTCTCTTGAAGGGACTCGTTTGGGGGGATTTCTACTGCACTGGCTTCACCTAGAGACCTGTGTGATTTACTAGCACTCTGCTCTTGCACCAGTGTCAGCCCCACAGACCTCAAGTCTGGGGCCGAGAGTCCCCGGGGTTTGCTAGCAAGGAAGAGTGTGGCCACAGTGCTCCTGTCCTCCCCATGGCCAGCCCTTGGGGGGCTCGCTTTGCTCAGCTCCACAGAATTGAAAACACTGGGAAGCCCCTGCCTCTCCTGGGGCTCCCTCAGTTCAGCGGAATTGGAAGGGGACATTGGTTCTGTGTCATTTAGCCTGGAAGACGTCATTCTTTTTGTAGGACCTGGACTGACTACTGGCTCCTTTATCTTCTTTTCCACGGCCTGGTTTCCCTTCTCTATAATCAAGCTCCCATTTGCTGACAGCAATGTGCCCCTTCTGCTATCTTCCGCCTGCAGGGGGCCTGGGGGCTGGGCACGGGCGCATGGGTGGTCAGGCTTCTGCTCCTCACTCCAGCTCTCGGACTTACTCTTAACTCTTCCTGACCACAGTGTGGGGTCTGGTCCCCGCCCCCTCATGTCCTGGCCACCTTCCACAGAGCCCAGATTCCTGGGCGTGGAGTCAGGGCCGCCCCGCGGCCCCTCTGCCTCACTGTCCCCGCTACCGCCGTCGCTCTCACTGCTTTCCTCCTCTTCCTGAAGCTCCTTGTTAAAACTTTCTAACTGGCTTATCAGGTCCCAGGGCCGACGGCTGACTGGCTTCAAAAGAAACTGACCAAACAGCTGTTTGCTATTGCATGGGCCTGTGGTCTCCCCCTTCACCACCTCGCCCCTGGGCACCGGGCTGGCACCACGTACCCGGCCATCCACGCAGGGCTGACACTGGGCTTTTGGCACAGATGCCTGGTTTATAGATGAAGAAGTCCTGGAGAAAGCACTGTTGCTGGATGGGCTGAGGGCTTTTTGCCCTTGTAGGTGATGAGCATTCAGTCTCCAGTCTGGGTCACTGGAAGCTATTGCCACAGGCATCTGAGCTTCAGAGGCAGGGGGGTCTGAAAGTCCTGGAGTCAGCACTGCATTACGTGACCCTGCCAGCTTCTCACCTGGGAGGGGCTGTGCACTTCTGGGTTCCTCAGTGAAACTGGTCTGTGTTTGCTGGTCTCTGCACTGGTGCCCTGGCCACAAGTCAGAATACGTGAGTTCTGGGTGTTTCACAAGATGAATGAGTCTGAGGTCATTTGTTTGTTTGTCTCCTGGCTCTCCCACTTGTTTTTGGAACTCTGTTCTCCCGGCCATGCTTCCTGTGAGAGCTTGCAGCTCCAGGTCAGTAGAAGACATGCTCAGCAGACTCTGTTCTTGCAAAGCCGCTTTCTTATCAAGTCCATTCCTTTTATCAGCACTCTGTTTTAAGTCATTGTTGTTTGTATCTATATCTGGCAGATGTGATTTGGATTTAACTGGGATGGAAACCAAACAAAATATGGTCTCATTCATTTTTTTCTTTGAACTTTTCTTGGTCTGCAGCCCAGTTTCAAACTTTTTGAGCTTGGGTTGAGTTGCACAGGTACTCTCACCCTGTGGGCTCTGGGAGGGGGCGGGGGCCTCTGTGAGTCCACGCCGGCCACCTCTCACATCAGGCTGCTGTCCTCTCAAGACACCATGGTCTCTTGGGTCAGGAAAGCCACCATTTTCTCCATCACTGGGGAACTGGCCCCCCAGCCACTGGGGGCTGGGATCTGCAGAGGCAGGGCCTCCCGCAGTCCCTGGTTGGGGTGTCGTCATACCCTCTGGATTCAAAATAGCACCATCCTGGTGAGTGTTTCCCTGAGCTGGCCCTGGCGCAGGGACCAGACCAGAGTTGTATGGCTTATCATCAACCGTTTCTTCACAGAAGCCCTGGGGGTGGCTTAGTTTAATATGTCGTATCCGCGGGTCATCAAAGGGAATATAAAGAACAGAGCTGTCGTAAGCTGTGGTGGGATGGGACTGTAGAGGGGGCCCATGGGGAGAGCGTGGGCCCACACCACACTCATTCCCGGGCCATGGGGTGCCAGGAGGAAGCTGGCCACTGGTCCCAACCTTCTCCACTGGATGCTGCTGCTGGTGGCGCCCACCACACACCTGCTCAGGCATAGCATCCTCCTTGTAAGGGTTTGGGACATGCTGGGGAGGCGACCTGTATGACGGTGGGGGCACGTACACTGGAGGTTCCAAACCCGAGTCATACACACAAAGCTCCTGTCTGGAGTCGTGAACTCTGCTCAAGTGGGAAACACATAGGTCTGTCTGCTGACTGTCCAGGTAGTCACTGCTCTCTGCCCCGCCCCTGGGCTGCTGGCAGGAGCCATAAGATGGAGGCTTGAGGGGTCTCCCAAACTTAGGCCGGGCTAGAGGGATTGAGGAGCCACCTTTCTCAGAGTTCCTTGGAGGTTCCAAATTTGGTGCACAGTTTGAAGGATAAAATGGCATTTGGGGAACACCTGGTAGATGTCCATCATTTAGTGAAATGGGAACTTCCATGCAACTCAGGCTCTCAGGGGAAAGAACTCTGGGCAGCGACTGGGACTTCCCTTTGCTCTGGGAATTCAACATCTGCTCTCCTTGCATGAATGGGTACAGATCCTGGAACAGTTTCTCTCTATCACCATCAGACATCTGCCTGCCTAGTTTCCTCGGCTGGTTCCAACTCTCCAGGCTTACATTCTGCCACCTGGCAGGACCTGACATTCTCAGCTCTTCTTCCCAAACAGCCTTCTTTGTCACATTCTCTGTCCTTCCTCCAACTTCCCATGGACCCTCCCTCGTGTGCATGGGCAGGCTGTGAGCTTGGGCCATGCCTCTGACTTCAGGGTCTTCTCGGGCCCTCAGACCCAGCAAGCCACTGCTCTCTTGTCCTCTTCTTCTCCAGTAGGCGTGGCTGTGGCCGGTCTGGGGCTGAGAGGACCACGCTAGCACAGGGTGATGATAAAACCTACAAAACAGGGAGGCATGACTTTTCACAAAGGGAGGAAGCACACACAAGAGACATACACTTCTCTGCTTCTGTAAGTCAAACTTAGGTCAATACTTTTGAAAACTAGATTTCCAACCAGATTACTTGTCCTCCTAAAGAAAACACATCCCACTAATTATGGCTGGGAGGCAGCCACGTGTTTTGCCACCAGGGCCTAGGAATGGCAGCAACAGGCTGCCCACAGAACAGCAGGACATGGTCTTACTTGAGAGATGCCAAGGCCCTCAGAACTCTGCAATGCCCAAGGGGATAAGGATAAACACAGATGCAGTGTTTCTCAAATGTAGTCTTGGGCCACTGGGAGTCCATTCCAGTCTACTGAGCTCTCAGGAAGTGAGTCGGGAGCCTGCTTTACAAGCCCTGCCCTCTAGCAGGGGTTCCTAGGCTTCAGCATGTGCAGAAATCACCAGAGGGCTGCTAGGCATGGGCTGCTGGGCCCCATCCCATGTCTGACTCAGGAGGTCTGGGCGGGGCTCCCTCTGTGCACACCTACCGTGTCCCCCACGTGATGCTGGGGCTGCTGGTCCTGGCACCCCACTGAGCACTGTCACTGCCAGCTGCTGTCAGCCAGGACTGCACACTGGAATCTGGGAGACCTCCCACCCCCAATGCCCAGCAGTACTCAGAGCCTCTGCATCAGAATCATAGAGGCGGGAGGGGAACCAGGCATCAGGGTTTCTCCAGATCCCCCAGGTGTGTAGCTGGGATGGAACTACAGCTCTAGCAGAGTCCCCACACTTCCCTGATGGCGAGAGTCACCCGGTCACACTACCACATGTCTCCCCGAGAGTTCAGATTAAGTAGGTCTGGGCTGGGGTCCAGGGGAGTCCCATCTTTGGGCAATGTAGGAAATACAGTTGGAGTCAACTTTGAGACTTTGAGGCCAGAGGGTGAGGGGGGCACTGTCACGGGGCAGCCCTCTCTGCCAGGCAGGAAAGGGTAGAATAAAATTCCAGCCTAGTTGCAGGTCACTGTCACCCTGGCTGCACATTTGAATTTCCTTGTAAGCCTTTACAAAAATCAAATGAGCAGAGCCCACCCCTAAATATTTGGATCTAATCAGTCTAGTGAGGATCCCAACCGCAGATTTCATAATCTCCTTAAATGATCCTAGCATGCATGCAGAATTTGAAATCACTGTTTCAGTAGAGCTGAAGAAAGAATCTGAACATTGTCACACGGTACAGGAATATTAACCTAGTACCTGCAAATGACCAAAGAGTGGGACAATCACACAGAAAAACCATGAACTGGAAGGAAGCTGGGGGCACTCAACTATCTAGATTAGCCATGGGCTAAGCAGAAGATGTCGCAACTCTAAAATTACTGTTTGTTTATTAACTTGTAAAAGTTTGTGCTCATTGTTGAAAATTTGGAAAAATATAGGAATGTACAAAAACCAGACATCGCTTATAATCGTTTTACTCTGAGATAGTTATTTTGATATATGTCTTCTGACCATTGTGCGTGGAAGGATGTGGATTTTCAGATAGCTCTAGTGTTCTGCTAGGGATCTGGGTTTATGTGAACATCTCCCAACACCTGTGGTGCAAACAGGGCTGACATATTGTGGTGACCACATGCTAGGTCCATCCCAAGTCCTTCCACACATTAACTCATTTAAGCTTCACCAGCATCCCTCAGAGGTAGGAACCACCTCCTACCTCCCATTCCCATTTTACAGAGGAGGAAATTGAGGCACAGAAGCTAAATAGCTTGCTTAACACTAACATTTACTAGGCATATATGCTACGTCAGGCCCTGTGTGAATCATGCCAAATGAATTATTTCACTTAAGCTTTATAGCCACTGTTATTTCTCCCTTGTACAGACAGAAACTGAGGCCCAGAGAAATTAAACCTCTCCCAAGTCACACAGTGATTAAGTAGTGGGGAAAAAATTCAAATCCAACAAGTGTGACAAAAAAGCCCATTCCATTAGCTACTCCATTTTACTAACATAATGAAAAATTCCTCACATGCATAACTTTAAGGGATGAAAAGTATTCTATCATATGTATATGATTTATTTAAGCACTGTACCACTGTTAGACATCTAAGTAGATTACATTCCAAAATATTGTGGGAAGCACTATTGTTCAAAAACACTAAGCATATCTAAGATACTGGATCATTTAGAGTATTATTTAGAATAAATCCTCAGAAAAAGAATTAGTAGATTGGCGGTGTCATGTGACCTACATTGTTGAATCTGAGCTTAGATCAACCAACCATTCCGATTTACACTCCCGCCTGCAGTGTGGAGGAGAGCTGGTCATACTGGACCTTTCCCATTTCTGGTTATTATGATCAATTGACTTCTTGTCGGTTTTTATTTGCATTTCCTTGATTACTAGTAAGGTTATTTTTCTCATGTGCTTAGGGGTCCTCTGTGGTTTCAAATGACTGCTAAAGCACAGCCGACTGTTGAGGTGACAGCATAGTGGGGTGAGGATGGGACTGACCGGGAGGAGCCCCTGGGCCACAAGCTCTGTGCAAAGGCCTAGAATAGGGTGACTGCCAGGGGCTGGGCTGGAGGAGAACCCTTCCCAACACACAGGCACAAACTGCTGTTCTGCAGGAGCCTAGATGGCAGATAAATAGTAAAAATTTATTCTCACTATGGTAAATAAGTAATAAAAATTATCACTTTTATTATTATTATTTTTGCAATTCTTCACCTTAAACAGCGAGGGTAGCTCTTCAAATCCTGCCTCCGCCCCCAACAGCCCTACAACCTGTTAAGCAGCCGCTTAAAGCAAAGCTGAGTGATGGGCAGAGAAAGTAAAAACTATTTAAAATTGGTTTGAGATAAAGCATTTGCCACAGAGCAGCCTAAACTCTTCTGCATTTACTGCTCATACATGGCGCAAGTTGCCTTGACACTGGGCATGGAGGAAGGTAGATTTCTTGGTTGCTTTTGTTGTCATCAGTCATGTTTTGAACATTTAGCAGAGCACTTCTTGGGTCAGGTTCTAGAAGGACAGGTCATTGTGGAAGCCACTGCCCCTGGCCTCCTTGCACACGGCTGCCCACCCCCACCACCAAGGAGAGCAGCAAATGGCCCTCAGAGCTTTGGAAGCCACAGCCCCAGCCCTTAGGGACTCCTCTGTGCTGCCCACCTGAGCCTGAAAAACTCTGGAGAAAATGAACCATTCGAAAGTCCTCAGCACTTATTGGCTATATAAGGTCTTAGACTCTATACAAAGTCCAAGGGCAAGACATTAAAATTACAACTTAATAAGAAGCTGCAACTGTCACAGACAATTAAGAGAGAGTGAAGTAAATCATGAGGAAGTATGTGGTCCAAGCCCTGCATCAGAATCTGCTTTCTTGCCTCTGTTCTGCAGCTGAGGGTGGGTGGATCTTAACCTTTATAGTCCTAAACATGTGTTCCTGCGGTGCCCAATTTTATGGAAGAAACCACACTGTACAGCTTTTGCTGACTCTCTCAATAGGAATTCTGGTTTCTCAGTGAATGTGTGGTGTGCTTAAATGCCAAGAAGGGGCTCAAATCTGCAGGTGCTATTTGTCTATATATGTGCCATGAGCATAATCTGAAGACAAAAGAATGACATAAATAAGACAAGGATATAAACAGACTGTAACTACCTACCAAGTAACATGGTGAGTTTTCTTTCCCACCCAAAAACGTTCCATTATCACCTTAACATTGTTGAAACTGCCATATATAACTAAATAAAATGCTTAAGCATTCTGGATTCAATTTTTTTCTATTTTCACGATATACCAAAATCCCACTTTAAGGAAAACACAAGTCATTTGGAAATTTTAAATAATCTATTTAAAAAATAGTCTACACGCCATAGAAAACTATAATGCATTTCCTTTACAAGTATCTCTTCCGTATATAGTATGAGCCTGGCCCTGACAGGTACCAGTGGACCCCACATGGTGACAGTTCTGGTAAATTTTTCCTTCAGACAAGTTATCAAGTGTGGATATTTACTGGCTTTGATATGTGACATCCATTATCAGCTAAAATGTATGCTAACTCATAGGGCTTCAAAGCCAAGAATATGTTTTCTAATACCTTTGGGGAAATACAATGAGATCAAATTTTTCTTTTTAAAAAATGAGACTAATAATTTACATTTTACCAAAGTTAATAAGGGGCCATTTTATAGAAACATGCTGAACACATTAAAACAGGGTGGGAAAAAGATAAGGAAAGCCAAGTGGAATGTGACAGCCCAAATAAATTGTGTTGACAAGTTCAGTGAGACAAGCAGGATCTTTACACAGAATGCCTGGGAGAACAGGACAGAGACGAGACAGAAGCCATGCCGCTGACAGCTCTATGCCTCATCACACAAAGGGGAACAGCCGATAGAAACTGTTTGGAAAAATATTTGAAATATGAACATGTGAAAAACCAACACATCTAAAGGAGAGCAGGCAAACCTATTCACTGAATACATAAAAGCCAAAGGTGAAGAAAATTAGGAGACACTTCGGTTAGTTCACAGGATTCCTTTTCAACCACAATAGAAAATACTGCTCTTCTTTTAACAAGCAAGAGCCTACTTAGAATGGCAATATTTGACATGACTTAACCACCGCTTCACACACTCTGGGATTATCTCCCCAGTGGTCTCCAAAGTCCTTGGGAGCTATGCCAACTGGTTAACTTCTGGCCACACTACAGCCTCGTTCTGTGCCTGATACCTGGTGGGCACAGGTAGGTGCCCTCCCTCCTTCATGATCAAAATCCTGAGCCTGGTCCCCTATGGGCAGCCCCCAAAATCTAGTCAGTTGAGCTTCCCTATGGAGGTCAGGGTGGAGGGTGGGAGGCCCCACTCCAGCGGTCCCAGGCCCAGTGATTTCTTCCAGTGGTGCTCAGCAGCCACTGGTGCTGCCAATCACCTTCAACCATCCCCAGTGATGACTGAAGCACTTTGCTGCAGCCATTCCTTCAGAAGCCACTCCTCTTCCACA